GGCGCTGAAAAGGGAAAGACTAAAATCCTGGTCGTTCAGAAAGAGTTGCAGTTCTGAAGCTGAGCTCCTGAGAACACGAGCAAGGGCGAGCTCGGTGTTGCTCGCGGCCGGGAGAGCGGGCCCGAAACCACCCCAGTGGTGCCATCCGCGGAGGGTCATTCCACAATCAGGGAGGCCTCCAGGCAGGACGAAGGCACCCCCAGGTGTCCTAGGGGAGGAAGACCAGACTAGAGAGTCTCCAGAGTGACGCTGTATCTACAGGTGGCTGCGTGCTCGGGAACAAGGGTGGTGGGGGTCACAGAAAGTTGTAATTGGGAGGGAGAGAAACCAGTGGAAAAGGAATTGGTATTTTTTACCTATTTAACGCATGAAAGATTTTTTTTAAAAGGTTTATTTTTTTGTTGAAGAACTGGGGGTGTAGGGGTGAGGGGATTCACTGGAGACAGAGGCGTCAATCCGCCTGCTCTGCTCCCCACTCTGTCTTTGGTGAATCCTCTCACCTTCCCGCCTTCAATCTCCAGTGGCCTGAACTGCACCCTGAGAAAGGGCACATTTACTGTCTATAAATTGTGCCCCCATAAAGTTAATTTTTACAGGAGAGGTCTGCTGTGCCATGTGGGTAGCTCCCTGGTGGGCTGTGGATCGAACTCGTGCTGTAGAGGTTGCAGACAGCTTCAAAGTGCCATGCTTCACCCCTTGAGCCACCAGGGAGGCCCTACCTTTAATTTTAAACTATATTACAGTACATAAGTTATATTTATGGAAAGTTAAATTCATATACATTAGCAGATGTGTCTTTTAAAGTTCTAAGCACTCAAGGTTGTTCAATGTAATTAATTAAACTTGAGTAAGTTCTCTCATTTTCGTGCCAACAATTTTGGACTTGGGGTCTGGTGTAGTCTGCTATTCCTAAAGACAGCAATGATAATTCTGATGAATTATCATTCAAAAAACACATATGCTTGTATGTCTGGAAAGAAATGTTAAATGGACTTCCGCTGAGGAATGGGAATAGGAAAGAAAATGGAGACTTTCGCTTTTTTCAATATATCCTTTCGGAGCTATCAAAATTCTTTTGTCATTTCTAAGTTTCTTCTTTTTCATTTTTATTTTTTTTTTCTTCTTTTTCATTTTTAATGTGGTAAAAAAAACATGTCCTCTTCATGGTTTTCAAGTGTACAGCTGTGTATTTACATTGCTGGGTAACAGAGCTCTAGAACTTTTTCATCTTGCAAAGCTGAAACTATTTCTGACAACTCATTTCCCTGGCCCCTGGCAATCACTACCCTCCGCTCTGTTTCCACGATGCTGATTACTTTAAATGTACAAGTGGAATCACATGATATTAGTCCCACTGTGGCTGACTATATTTTATTTAGCATAAAGCCCTCAAACCTCATCCATGTGACAGGAATTTCCTCTTTTTTTTAAAAAAAAGATTTATTTATACAAGAACTAGGGTACAGGCCAGATGCGCGGGAGGGTGAGAGGATTCACCAGAGACAGAGCGGGGAGCAGAACAGGCAGACTGACCAAAGACACTGCTGAGAGGAGCAGCGGGAGAGACAGGAGAGCTCTGCCATGCCATGTGGGTTGCTCCCTGGCCAGCCGAGAATCGAACCGGCACTGCAGAGGCTGCAGGACAGCTTCACAGCGCGGCGCTCAACCTGCTGCACCACCAGTGAGGCCCAGGAATTTTCTTTTTTCAAGGCATCCCTGTGACAAGAACTTTCCTCTTTTTGATACCTGCCCAGAAGTGGGATTGGTGCTTTTTTTTCTAATAGCTGAAAAAAGCCTTTTCCATCCTTGCTCTTTCAATCCAGGCTCAGAACATATGTCTGAGTTAAATCAAAGGAGAGTTGCAAGTTTAGACAGTAAAAATATAGGATATTCACACATGCAATTTGCAGCAACATGGATGGCGCTGGAAGGGATCATGCTCAGTGAAATTAGCCAAAAAGAAAAAGAAAAATACCGGATGGTCTCACTCATAGCAGGAATCTAGAAAACTTAAATAAGGGACCAGGAAAATGAATATAAGAAAGTGAAAATCAAAATCAACAAAAAACTATGAACCAGAGACACTTTTTGGGGGGTGGGGGGCGGGAGGGGAGGGATTGGGGTCAGAATGGGGGGTTTGCAATTGTATGGGGGAATATAAAAATAAAATTTATTATTTAAAATAAAAAAAAATATAGGATAGTCAATTAAATCTGAACATTGGACAAATCATTTTTTAAGTTGAAGTATGCATGCAGTGCATTTAATTATTCACTGTCGATCTGAAATTCAAAGTGAACCAGGTAGCCCATATTTTACCTGATACCCCTAAATCAGGGGTGATGGGCTCCTGCTCAGGACACCTCATCACAACCTCTCCTGGCAGGATCTAGCTGCATTTTGGCATTTCAGGTGCCTCCTTGCTCGCAAGAACATTCCTCTCCTGCCCACCTCCCACGCCCCTTAGCATGTATCCATGCTGAATGCTCCACCTTCCTTCTCCCAGATCTCCCAGGAACACAAGGACAACTCAGAAGAGCTGGCTGGAGTGGCTGCTCGCTCACTCTCTAAGGACAAAGAATTAAATAAAAGGAAAAGGAGGGCCTCCCTGGTGGCCTGGGGGTTAATCCCGGCCAGGGAGCTACCCACATGGCGCAGCAGACCTCTCCTGTCTCGCCTGCTGCTCTCCTCAGCAGTGTATTTCAGTCCCTGCTGTGCTCCCCACTGTCTCTGGTGAATCCTCTCACCTCTGGGCTACACTCCAGTTCTTTTATACATAAATAGATCTTTAAATAAATAAAAATAAAAGGAAAAGCAGCCCCACCCTATACTGTCTCCTCTGAGGTCAACAAGCCCTCAAGGCAGACCATGAAAATAAACAGCATGGCTAGAAGCAGGTTTATAATCACAAGTGGTGCAAAGGCTGCAGACCCTTGTCCGCAAACACGTCCCCATCTGGATGTGGAGTGAACAGCCCTCTGACCACCTGCACTTACTTTTCCCAGGGCTTTGGCTGTTAAAAGCGTCTTAAGAAGCCCAGATCCTCGGGCCTCCCCGGTGGTGCAGCGGTTGAGCGCTGGGTTGCGAAGCAGCCCGCGGCCTCTGCAGCGCCGGTTCGATCCCCGGCTGCTCCGGCCACCGGAGGAGGGTCCCACATGGCGCGCAGACCTCTCCTGCCGCCCGCTGCTCCCCTCAGCAGTGTACTTCGGTCCTTCTGCCTGCTCTGCTCCCCACTCTGGCTCTGGTGAATTCTCTCGCCCTCCCACTCTTCTAACTGTACCCAGTGCTTGTATAAATAAATAAAGAAAAATTAAAAAAAAAAAAAAAAAGCCCAGATCCTCCTGCAGACTCCTCTGCAGTCGCGGCTCCCCGCTGCACCTGGTATAGCATCCAGCACCAGCATCTGCCCAGAGCCACAGCGACAATGTGCTGCCAGGAAAATGGGCCAGGCCAGAGATCCCTGTCAGTTTTTCAGTGTTCCCGGTGCAAAGATACAATTTCACTTTCATAGGACTGCACAGCCTAAAAATAAAATTGAAGAAAGCGATCTCGTTCTGGATCCCTCTTCCCCACGGCCAGGCCCCATTCAGGTCACTGGCTGCGCTCCGCCATCGGCTGTGAGCAGTTGCCTGGCTCTGCCTCGCCTGGAGTTGAAGGCTGCCAGCCAGCGTGCCCCGCGCGGCGCCCTGAGAGCACAGCAGACAAGGGCACTTGGCTGAGGGTGGACGGAATCTTGGTCAGCGTTTCCTCGAGGCACTCACAGCCGGCGCCCTCCGGTTTTCTTTCACAACCCCCAAATCTAGCTTCCAGTAGGCAGAGTGTCAAGGACAGGGCGAGGCGCGCCGTGCCATTTGCTCAGGAGCGGGCAGGAAAGCCGACAGTGAACGCTTGTCACCATGTCGTCTCTTTTCCCTTGTTTCCCAACCCTGAGTCACATCCCATTTCTAATTTCCTCAAAGATGCCATTAAACGCTGGGCGGGGAATTTCTAAGTAATGACACCGACTCTCACTTAACATAGTGGGCCGGTGGTTTTCACAGAGGCTCCTCAGTCATAAACCCGAGGGCTGAAACCACGCTGGGTGATGTTTTGAAAGCTTATGCCTAAACATCTGCTCATGGATGGCTCTTCCCAGCACCCTCGCCCCATCACTTACGGATTCAGCCCACCCCAGAAGTGAGTCCTGAGAGCCTCCATCCAGGCAGCCATCAGTCCCACTGAGCTGGCAGATGAGCTGACACCTGCCGCCGCCTCAGGTCTAAACCCCTTGAAACAGAGACCTTTCAAAGCAGCCCCTTGCTCCCTTTTATTCTGGCTGACACTTTTCCTCCAAAGATAAGTGGTTCTCAAAATCTTTTGCTTCTTCTAACCCTCTGATCACTTTGTTGGTCTGTTTCAGTTCTCAAAATCTTAATCTAAGAATACCCAGAGTTTTGGGCGGCGCAGCTCTTCTGTAACTTTGTGATTACTCGGCTATACGCACTTGTAACTATACAGTAAGATAGATGAATTTGATGGCATATAAATTATACATCAATAAAAGAATTTTTAAACCCCCCTCGGGAACTTACGCAGGCCTGAGATGGGTCCAAAGAATTTCCGTTTTAACAGGCATCCCCTCTTCAGACACAGGTGAGCCAATGGGCACATTTGAAAAAAACACTGTAGATACAGCAAGGCCCACCCAGTAGTGACCCAGTCCCCGTCTCCACTAGCTGCTGGGCCTGAGCCTACAGGAAGAGCAAAGGATACTGGATGGAGCCACTAAGCAGTCGGTGGGCAGGCCTGGACTCCATCTCCACATTCCTCATGCCCTCCCTGTGTGACCTGCATCCGATTTGAGATAACTGGAGGCAAACCCTAAAAAGCATCGTGTATTAACATATAACCTTAAAAACTTAGAAATATTGTTGAAAACTCTACATCGCATAGCAGACTGATTTTAACTTTGATGCCAATACCTCATCCAGGTATTAGTCTGTTTTGATGGCAATCTGCCCAAGAATCCACTTTTAAAACTAACAGAGTGACTTAACAGCTCCAACAGTTTTTAAACAGCTCACAAATTTATTACCAAATATGGCTGGCTGACCAGGCTGCAGCCTGTGCTGCTGACAGTGGGCTCTGCCAGTCAGCTATTCTGAGTCTGTGAGGGCAGAGGGCATCGCTATAATAACTGCTGCCCTCCCCTGGTCTCTGCCGTGCCCTTCCCTTCTCAGAAGGCACACCTCTCGGAGGCGAGGCCTGGAGAAGCAAAGGGGGCTAGAGACGGGTGCTGTTTGTGTTTAGACCTCAGCCTCCCCTTCCTCCTGCACAAGGCCACCCGTCTTTCCCAGATGATGATGCCAGAAATATGCCGATGCAGTTCGATACAGCAATCCTAGGAGTTCAACCCAGCTATGAAAAAGGTATTTTTTGAACCCAAATCTTCACCTGGTAATTTTCCGGCTTGTGCATTCCCACCGAGATCAGCTTACAGGTGAATGCATGAGAAAGGATTTTTGTATTAGGTTCTCAGTGCAAACCGTGAAGCTCTTGGTACTGTTTTGTACAAAGAATGGGGTAAAATCCTCAGCTTGACATTTCCTGGTAGCTGGCTTTTCAAGTTTTAGGAAAAGATGCACAGACCACAAATGAATCTTCTAAACTGTATTTGAAGCTGACAAAATCTTCCCAGAGACAAGGCCCCGGGCACAGAGTCTGTCCCCACCATAGTTTTACATTAATCGTACAGAACAAAATCAGCGACAAGTGATCTTTGGCACTAGAATGGGTAATCCCTTAGCTGTTGATACAATATCCAAACTGCACACCACATGACATTAGATTGCTGGTTAGGAGTCCTACCTAGCCATACCTAACACTTAGTGCCTGAGGTAGAGACTTTTTTTTTTTTAAAGAAAACATAATTGAATGCAATAAAAAAAATTTCCCCCCATTTTGGAAGCATGTAACTAAATGTCTTCTGCTGATTCAACAAGCCAACCCTCCAGTACAGAACTCTTCTGTTATTGCTGAAGAGATTTTGCACAGGAGGAAGACTTTCCTTTATTTGGACTCCTGGGGTTTGGAATACTATGGATTGCTTCTTTTAAAATGTTTATTAATGTGGAATGTGCATAAACCAAACTCACTTAACATCATTATTAAAAATGCAGCTACAGCAGAGACAACCAACCTTTTAAATTCTCCATGCTGTGTGGCCAGAATGAAAGCCAAGCATGCAATTCAACCCAATGATTCTAACATTTGATGGTGACTGTGAATTATTACAGATTATGACATTTAGATGAGTTAAAACTTTAATTCCAAACTCTGTACTGTGTAGGTGCAGGGGCTTTATCTTCAGGTGGTGAGACTGTCCATGAAATTACATGATTTTATAAAGATAATCTAATACCTGAAATCTTCCAATCAAAATGACCAGTCATTGTGTATTTTTTTGAGTTCAGGTACTTCTCTTCATAGCCAGAAAAAGACTTTTCATTAATAAAAAGGCATTTACTTTCTTTTTCCTTCATTTTTCTCTCTTTAAAAAGGCAATTCTTAATGCAGGTGCAAGTACACACACTTGCCTTTTACCAAAAGTTGACTAGCCAAAAATTTATCATAAACTATAGATGTTATTTTTAGAAGCGAACTGTCTCTTAAATGAGACAGAAAGCATAGAATACAGACATTTAGAAGCTCAACGGGTAAAGCATAGGTATGACTAATAGGAGTAACATTTAAGTCCATTCTTGGTATAACTGCTTAGGGCAAGCGTTTTAAACAATCACTGATTCCCATGATAAAACGCTGAGGGAGATTCTACTATCATTGCATGGTTCTTTCAATCATATTTTTAAGCTGAGATCTCAGATAAATAACCAAAAATAAGAGTTGGTGTCTTAATACTGTTTGCCAGAGACTCTAACTACCTCATGGTATTTCTAAGCAGTATAAGCCCCTAAAACTAAGAAATATAAAACAATCTGCCAACTTTATACCACGAAGAAATGACAGGGCAGGTTTCTGGAGGCTTCTGTTCTCTGCAAAGATATATCTAGAGCTTCTAAAAGACACTGGTATGAGGGAGTCCTGACCTACGAGAAGCACCTTACATGGCAAAGCTTATTGTCTCGAAAGTAATTCTACAGAGATTAGTCAAGGAAAATCACCAGGAAAAAAAAAAAAAAAAGCCACAAAATGAACAATTAACATTTCTTTAGGGAAAATGTTACCCGATTCTTCCCTTAAATATGAACTAAGGAGAAGGCCTGTTCATTTTACAAACCTAAATAATAGATTTTAACAAAGATGAGTAAGGGACATATCATATCGGTGTCAAGTATGCGAGAGACAACGCACTCAACTCCTGTTTAGAGAAGAGCATGTCTTATATGGCAAGTCAAAGGATTATGAACTTAACAGAAAAAAAAAAAAAAAACAAAAAACCTTGGTGACATGCTTTTTATACAAATAGCTTACAAGTTCCAGAGACGATCAGAATAAAATTTTTGTAGATTTAAAGTTGACCCAGATAATGGGTTACTAAGCTAGACATGGATGGTCCCATTTCCTTCATGCAGGTCCCTAACATGTCACTAGGGGAAATGGCTTTGGCATTTGAACTCATGCTCAAAGGCTGAAAGAAATGTACCAAGAAAGCAGTCAGTTGGGAAATTCATGTCGTTATGAAAATTTAGTGAGAACAAAAATAGATTTTTTAAAAAGCATGTGCACATGGGAAGTGACTGAGAATATCTGTCCATATACTTTAAGAAGTTGAAGAAATTCAGACACAAAAGACAACACTGTCATGAGAACAAGTCGAGTAAACACCAGGGGCACTGTATGGAGAAACTAAGTGATGCCTCCTGGTGCCAGACGCCTTATCCTGGCCCGTCTCTGGACTCCTTTCCATCACTCTCAATCCAACCTGCCCGCGGGCGGAGCCGCTCTGCTCTCCTCCAGGTTTTGACTAGACAGACATGAGCAGGCATGTATTTTCTGTCCTTCAGCTAAATATGCTGGAAGCTCCAATGACATAAGAATTAATCGATGGTTCTTTATGCTGGCTAAGCTGAGGTTTTCAAAATCTTGCCTATTTCTTAAGACTAATTGCACGACTTTTCTTAATGAACATTTGGCTTGGAGGAAAATGTGGATGTCTATGAGCTTTCCAGGACACGCACACACGTGCGTACCATTTCTGGAATTTCCTCTCAGTTTCACCTGAGTTTACTTTTTTGCTTAAGATGTTCAGAGATCCTGAGAAGCTTCTCTAGGCTGAACTTTATAGATTAAAAACAAGCAAAGTAAAGGTAAATGCATGGCTTGAGGATAAGCTTATATTTTCTACTGAGTTTCTTTTTTTGGTGGGGAAGAGGGAGAAATGCAGTGACAAAAAACGAGAAGAAAAACAGAAGAGAAAAACCTCACAAAGGCTGTTGTTAAGACGTCTCCTAAATAACGAAGAACCAGCATTTTAAAATTAAGACATAAAAAAACAGTATCTTTAGAATTTCAAAGTGAGAGGTGGCTTCTAACAGCTTTTAGAAAAGAGTGAGACATTCAAAAGGAAACACTCCCTAGCGGGTAAAAGGAACCTTCTTTAAATCTTTACCAAGCTCTTACTCAGAAGCTCACACACTAGAAGACAAACACCGTGAACATGGCAGGAGAGGAAAGTGCTCCAATGTAAGGTTGAAGATGGCAATAAAATACTGTAAGTTACGAGTGTGAAGTCAACACTGATGCTTGTCATTGATAAATAGATATGCCTTTAGGGAATAAATACGGATATCCTCTCCAGGTCTATTTACAGACAGAATCCCAGGTCTGACTGGCCTTCCAGGAAGAAACCTACATTGGCAGAAATAGGAAAATTATATAAGTTCCAGGTAAATTATTAAAAATAAGGAATTTGTATTTAAGTCTTCTGCCATATGCAGTACAAGCAGCTGTGAGTATTCTTAGCCACAAGGGAATATTTGTATTTTTAATGTTAACATGTAAAGAAAATATCTACCACTGGCTTCTTAAGAAACCAGAGAGAGGCAGGTTTCTGGATAGAGATTTAAGGCAAATCAAACGGGTGTACAACTAAGCACTCTATTAGGGCTCCTTTTCCAGGCGTGGCTTTGGGATGGGATGGAGGAACTTTAGTATCAGCTCCTCAGGGTCTCCACACCACCACCAGGTTGGGGACACCTTTTGTGAATCAATCTTTTTCTTGAAAGAACTTAAATTATATGCACACCATCATCAGAGCATCTACTGACAACGCTTGCTATTAAAGGAATTCTGCATTGAGTCGTTTATCTCCTTTGAGAATATAAATAGGTTTTCAAAGACTGAATACAAGTCTTGGCACATGAATGAGATTCAAAGATTTCTCAAGTAGAGAAGATCTCAACCTCCTTCTGATGTGGACTTTCTTTCCAAGACTGAAAAGCGATTCCTCCTTTGTCTTCTTACGTATCTGAAATCTTCCCTGCAACATGAGAGGCACTTCTGTTAAGTGTAGCATCTAAAAAACTTTAAACCCAGGCTGGAATTTGCTGAACACAGTAATAACACTAGCCTAATAGGCAATCCCTATAAGGATTTTTTCCCCCTTTAATATAAAAGTATAACTACAGTGGTCCAATGTACAAATACAAAAAAAAAAGTCTCATACTAAAAAAAAAAGTACCATAATACTGTACATACAAAAACTATTCAACAAGAATGATTTAAATATATCTGCTCTTTGCCAGATGTGGAAGGTACAGATGTAAAGTTCTGTGACTGCATTATTGCTGGAACGTGTGCCCAGGGACACTGTGTTTTCCTCTCTTCCCTGTCCCGGGCCCGCCTGCATAGTCCCCTGAGCTTGGGTCATGAGCCAACAGCATCCCTGAAGATAACCAGAGCCAAATGTTTACTCAATGGAAGTCATTACTCAGTGAGCTGCTGCTTACCATGAACTATGAAAAGCACAAGTTTTAAGCCCAGCCAAGATTAAATCCAGACGGAGGTCTTCCCGTCCCCTGATTTGCTACTAGCACTGCTTTTGTTGGACCCAGCTTTGGACCCCACTTTGGCTTTTTTTTCCCGGGGACCGTGGGGGTTGTTTTGGTGACTGTAGGCCTGGATTGCTAAATCCAAGCGTTCCTGAGCCATTCTGATCTCCCGCTGCAGAGTCTCCAGGTCGGCTGGGAGGGTCTCCTCATGGCTGCCGTACTGCTGCTCCTGGGCTATGTTGGCCTTGTTTTGTTTGTAGGCGATCTTAGCGTTGGACAGTTCAGTGTACTGGATTTGATCTGGTTTTACGGCGATGTTATAGCCAGGGGGAGCAGATGGTGTATTCCAAGTGAAAGGATAATTATAAGCACCCGGATCTTCAAGTTCCCTCCTTTTACTGTTTAGTGAGTCTCGAATGGTTCCAAATCCCAAATGAAGCATCTCCCAAATGTTAAGCAATAGGCAAAGACACGTAACACCATACATTATCAGAAGGAAAATGGTCTTTTCAGTGGGTCTAGAAATAAAGCAGTCTATCTTATGAGGGCAGGGAAGTCTGCTGCACACATAAAATGGGTGGACTTGGAAGCCATACAGAAAATACTGCCCTATCAGGAAACCCACCTCAAACACGGTCCTTGCCAGCAACTGCAGCACATAGATTTTCATGAGCCCATCTTCCCGAATCCGCTGTCGGCCATCATGCTTGGGTTTAGGGTGGCTCTGCTCTTTATTTTCCTTCTCACTTTCTAATTCCATTTCTGGATACATCATGGGATCTTCCTCATGGTCCTCTTCCGTTTCTTCTAGAGCCCGGTGCTGCTTCCAACGCATCGCATACGGCTTGCTCCGAGCTGCCTTCTTGTCTGTTTCACCATGCTCCATTTTGGCGATCTTATGAATGGCGTAGCCCAAGTACATCACTGAGGGGGTTGCCACCAGGATGATCTGGAACACCCAGAAGCGCACATGGGAGAGAGGTGCAAAGGCATCATAGCAGACATTCTCGCAGCCTGGCTGCTCTGTGTTGCACACGAATTTGCTCTGCTCGTCGTAATAGATGGACTCTCCTCCTACAGCTGTGAGGACAATCCGGAAGACAATCAGCACAGTAAGCCAGATCTTTCCCACAAATGTGGAGTGGTTGTGGATCTCTTCTAGCAGGCGAGTCAGGAAACTCCAACTCATGGTGACTGAACTGGTTTGTCCTAATAAAAACAGAAAAATGCCAAAGGAAAATCAAATACTAACGTCTGAATAATTTTTTATTAACAATATCTTTAGGAACTGCTTCTCTGGATAACTGAAATCTAACTTCAAGGCTCATACTAAAATGAGCACTCAAGCAAGAAGCATCTGACTTTCTACTACACTCAAGGAGTCTGAGCACTTGGTTGGGCCTACAAGGTCCTAGAAGTCTGTTTTGCTTTCATGTCTTCCCTAGTTTAAAAGATAATATTGTAGCTAGCACCTAGATACATTTCTCAGACACAGTATACTAGATTCTTTAAATATACTGCTAGCTCAGGACACAAGAATTTTGTGAGACAAAAGAAAGCAGCGGCCGTTTGGTCCACTGAAAGCCACATGACCACTGAACACACCAGGAGTGCTGAGGCTGAAGGAGGCAGCTCATCAGGACACTCAGACTTTGGATTCAGTGACAGAGTGTTAAAAAGAATGAAGGAAATGGTACAGCTGCAAATAACTGACAATAAAGAACTAAAACAAGACACCAAAGGAACTAGTGTTGCAACAGGAACTTTGCTGCTGCTTTGTGGCAGGAACTGATGAGGGTGAGGGACAAAGCAGTCGTGGAACAGGTTTGCAAGACAGGACTCTGCTGCTTGAGCAGAAGTTCTTGTGTCATTTATTGAAATCATACAGGATAGTAAAAGCGGATCATGTGACAAAGGCATGAGGAATAAAGTCTGGATGGAGGGTCGGATAAGAATGGGGGACAAAGTTTTACAAGGGAGAGGGAAGGGGACATCGTGACCATGCGTCGAGATATTTGCATCAGCAAAGTATGATGTTATCACAGAGAGAGTTATCCTGACACCGCCATGGAGATAGTCACATAACCAGGTCAACCGCGGCCTAGGTGTCCCTGGGCCTGCCTTGCCATACGAGCTCTACTCCGTAGGTAAGCAAGGACTGCTCTGCTGTGATCTGTAGATAGCATAGGTCACAGTTACCCATGAGTGGCCACTTCATAGGAACCCACAAACTAGGAAGACACACCCTAACTAGGCTGCAAAGCATAGCAGAATCCTCTAGGGTTCTGTGTTATGTTCCCATATTTTGTTTATGGTCGATGTTAATTAAATTGAGTTGTGATCACATTAACTTAATAGGCAAATCCATTTTAAAAAGCATTTTGAAGGATAGCTTTATTCTGAGTTGCTTAGAATCTATGTTCAGAATCCTGGTAAATACCAAAATGAGATAATACATGTAAAAAATCACTAATATACACACAACTCCTAAGCGCCCTGGCAGAAAGCACACTATCTTTCCTCCTCCTCCTCTTCTACCACTTTACTCCCGCAGATGATAGGTGATTATTAGCACCATCAAGGAAGTTCAATTAAATATATTTTACCTGTTATCCAGAACTTCTGTTATCCAAAATTTTCTTAGTGAATGTATGTTTTGCTTGTGACTTTTCCAGATTCCCTCTAGAAGGGATAAGAAAAGAGAAGGTCATTAAGTTTCCTCCCACAGAAAACAAAAATCACTAACATGCTATTTTCAGGAAGGAAGAGTTTTCTATGTGCTACAGAATTTAATTAGTAGATGGAAAAAGGCCTGAGTTTCAGAACCACTGCTCTCTCCTAATACAAGTGCTAGGATAAACTAGGTAACAGTGACCCAAAGATTCTGAAGTCATTGTAGTCTAAGACACTATGACAGGAAGACAAGCCATTTGTGAAAATCCAATGAAGATGAACTCTGGTACCTATAGGAAAAAGTCAAAGCAAAAAAAATCTCAGCAAATTTAAACCAGTCACCACAGGCCTAGTGAAGATCTTCACCCCGTGTGCTCTGTTCCCTGGAGCAGCCAATACCTCTCACTGAGACTTGAGCAGCCAACTTGGAGCAAGCTGTTCAGTGAAAACACCTAACAGCTGGCTCTCAGTCACTGGGACACCCGTATCCACAGGAGGTGATTTAGAGATTCAACTGCTCACAGAAAGGAAACACCTGTAACATCTTCATTGTGACTAAAAAAACCAAAAAAATCCAGGACAAATGATTGCTTATTATCAATTTCTGTCAACTGAGTAGCTACAGCAGAGTCATTCATGAGGTGTCAATTTTGTTCATTTATCTACATTTAATAAATAAAACAACCCTTGAGCGTTATGGGTTCAGAGTAAAAAGTTGGGTTAAGGCTTAGGAAAAAAAAAAAAAAAAAAAAAACCACTAAGGCATCTACATAACAAGCAAGTATCAAGATTTACACACAATATCTGACCACACCAAGATCTCACCATTGGGTTTCAAGTACAACCCCTGCTTCAGCCCTTAAGCCCAAAACAGCTCATACCACTGAACCCCCAAAGCTACAAAACCACAAAGCAAGTAAATAACACACAATCTTTGAACGGTGAATTAAGCCAGGTTTCCAACGTAGAACTCCATGATTCACATCCACAAGTTCAGACTCAGAATTTTGTCAAATGCCACATCGAAAACATTTCCTCTCCAAATTAGATTTGTTCCAATAAGCCAAAATCGTGAAAGTTCAATTATTAGTTAGAAAACTCGTTCTCCTCACCTCTATCCACAACCAAAGACAAATGGTATCTTTTTAACAGTTACTGCTATAAAATAATTTCTCAACAGTTCAGTACTTCATACAACAATCCAACTTTTTTTTTTTTTTGGGGGGGGAAAGAATTGGTGACAAGTCTGTCAAAATTTATGTCCAAGTTTTACAGCAGCAATTTAACACACGTTGTGTGCTGGTTAAGCGCTGGGCCTACAAAATGCTGAACCCTTACAGCCTGGTTTCCCAAGGGCATTTGTAAGAGTCTAGCACCCTAAACCCACACCTTTAGTATAAATGTGTTTAGAAACAACTCCAGCTGCCCATAAAATATTTTTACTGGAGAGTTGAGTAGGTGTTTTGTTTTGTTTTGTTTTTTTTAAAGATTTATTTATTTATGCATACAAGAGCTGGGGTACAGGCCAGAGATGCAGGGGGCGGGGAGGTGAGAGGATTCACCAGAGACAGAGTGAGGGAACAGGCAGAATGACTGAAATACACTGCTGAGGGGAGCAGTGGACGAGATAGGAGAGGTCTGCTGTGCACGCCATATGGGTTTCTCTCTGGCAGGCCGGGGATTGAACTTGTACTGCAGAGGCTGCAGATTGCTTTATAGTGTGGTGCCCAACCCCCTGTGCCACCAGGGAGGCCCCTCAAGTAGGTTTTTTGATATGCTTCTGTTTCTAAACCCTTTCCTTCCCTTCCAAGAAATAAGAAAATGACTTAGGAGGCCTCTGTCTCACTGTATTTCAGTCAGTCTGCCTGTTCTGTTCCCCACTCTGTCTCTGGTGAATCCCCTCACACCCCCGCCCCTCACATCTCTGGACTGTACCCTAGCTCTTGTATGCATAAATAAATATTAAAAAAAAAAAACAATAATGTATAATGAAACCAGGTCCTCAAATAACATTGTCTCATTCTTGGTCAGGATTCTTTTTTGTTTACCAGATGTTGTAAGGAAATGATACTGAATGAAGTGAACATATTCAAGGGCCTGCTGTATAAAAAAGAAGTCATTTAGTATTACTTGAATACAGGCTGTGGTAAGTTAAAGACAGATATAAGCCCTAAATCAACCACTAAAATAACAAAGCAATGTTATAGCTAATAAGTCAATAAACAATAAGAGGTAATATAGAATCATAAAAAAAGATAAGACAGAGAAAATAGAAAGATGATAGATTTAAACTCAACCATATCAATGACTGCATTAAATATAGAATCCAAACATTCTAATAGGCAGAGACTGTCCCATTTTGAGTAAAGTGACATTTAAAGTATAAAACCACAACTTATTTTTTTTTTTAAAAGATTTTGTTTATTTATTTATACAAGCACTGGGTACAGTCAGAAGCATGGGAGGGTGAGAGAATTCACCAGAGCCAGAGCGGGGAGCAGAACAGGCAGAAGGACCGAAGTACACTGCTGAGGGGAGCAGCGGGCGCAGGAGAGGTCTGCGCACCATGTGGGATCCTCGCCCAGCGGCCAGGGATTGAACCGGCGCTGCAGAGGCTGCGGGCAGCTTTGCAACCCAGCGCTCAACCGCTGCGCCACCAGGGGCGGCCCCACAACCTAATTTTTTTCACAGACACAGATAACATTTACAGAGATAGGCCATATTCTAGGTCATAATAAAAATTTCAATACATTTAAAATGATTCAAGTCAAAATATGTGCTTTGATCCCAATGGAATTTAGTAAGAAATCACTACAACTTGGGTGTCTTCCCCTTATTTTCTCTTATCATAAGTCAGACACACAAAAAGTCACATATTATATGATTCCACATGTGTAAGACATCCAAAACAGGCAAATCCACAGAGATAGAGATGAGTGGTTGGCATGGGCGGTGGGAAATGATACCTGACTATTAATGGGTGTGGGGTTTCTTTTTGGGATGATGAAAAAGCTCTGGGATTAGACCAGGGTGATGGCTACACTACCTTGTATATATACTAAAAACCACTGAACTGTATATATATATATTTTTTAATTTATACAAGAACCGGGGTACAGGCCAGATGCACAGGAGGGTGAGAGGATTCACCAGAGACAGAATGGGGAACAGAACAGGCAGACTGACTGCAATACACTGCTGAGGGGAGCAGCGGGTGAGACCAGAGAGGTCTGCCGTACCATGTGGTTATCTCTCCAGCCAGCTGGGATCGAGATGGCGCTGCAGAGGCTGCAGAAAGCATCACTGCACTGCACTCAATTGCCTGGGCCATCAGGGAGACCCTGTATTGTATACTTTTAAGGGTGAGTATTAAAGCATGTGAATTATCTGTCAATAATAAAACAACTAATTTGAGATACTATTCTTGTCTTATCACACTGGCAAAAATCCAAAAGTAGGGGAAGTTGGAGAAATTCTCACATGCTGTTGAAGGGAGTGGTGTAACCTCTGACAGCAATTTGGCAATATCTAACAAAATTACAAATGCAGCTACCCTTTGGCCCAATAATCTCACTTTTGGAAATAATCACTAGAAGCACTGTTTCTATAAACAATTCAAATGTCCACTGTCATGAGGCAGCTGGTTAAATGCACTCTGGTCTCTATATGACAGGACATTATGTGACGGTAAAAAGCAATGAAGGGGCCTCCCTGGTGGCACAATGGCTTAAGCACAGCACTATGAAGCTATCCACAGCCACTGCAGCAAGAGCTCGATCCCCAGCCAGGGAGGTGACCCACATGGCACAGCAGACCTCTCCCGTCTTGCCCACTGGCTCCCCTCAGCAGTGTATTTCAGTCAGTCTGCCTGTTCTGTTCCCCATTCTGTCTCTGGTGAATCCTCTCACATCCACCCCCCCACCCCAGTTCTTGTATGCATAAATAAATAAATCTTTTTTTAAAAAAAGGCAATGAAGATTACTCTCCTAATATAAAAAGACAGTCAAGATATTTAATAACTGAAAAAAGTAAGTATATGGTTATATAAGTAAGGTAGGTATTGCATATGCCTTTTATTTTTTTTATTTATTTTTAAAGATTTATTTTTATTTATTTATACAAGCACTGGGTACAGTCAGAAGCACAGGAGGGTGAGAGAATCCACCAGAGCCAGAGCAGGGAGCAGAACAGGCAGACTGATGAAATACACTGCTGAGGGGAGCAGCAGGCGGCAGGAGAGGTCTGCACGCCATGCGGGACCCTCCTCCAGTGGCCAGGGAGCAGCCGGGGTTTGAAGCGGTGCTGCAGAGGCTGCGGCAGCCTCGCAACCCAGCGCTCAACCGCTGCGCCACCGGGGAGGCCCGCATATGCCTTTTAAATAAGAGGAAATAATATACCTTTTTAACTTATATTTATATAAAGAAACACAGGCACATCAAAAAATAATATAAGGGCCTCCCTGGTGGCGCAGTGGTTGAGCGCTGGGTTGCGAGGCTGCCCGCAGCCTCTGCAGCGCCGGTTCCATCCCCGGCTGCTCCCTGGCCACCGGAGGAGGGTCCCACATGGCACCTGCTGCTCCCCTCAGCAGTGTACCTTGGTCCTTCTGCCTGCTCTGCTCCCCACTCTGGCTCTGGTGAATTCTCTCACCCTCCCGCGCTTCTGACTGTACCCAGTGCTTGTATAAATAAATAAATAAACCTCTAATAAATAAATAAATAAATAAATAAATAAATCTTTAAAAAAAAAAAATATGTTAGAGAGGAGACTAAGAAGGATGGGGTAGGATCCAGACTTTTGATTATGTATATTTTATATTGTTTTGTTCTTCAAACTAAATGAATATTTGCATTTTTAAAGAGAACACTGAAAAGGTACTCAAAGTCCTATAGATTAAAGTTGAAGAATAAAAATAATTTTTCAATAAATTTCAAAGGTGACAAAACTTATTTTTTAAAAATTGTTTCATAAAAAGTATTCATCTTGTTTTACTTAAAACTTAAGAACATATTTACATTTGACATCAATTTACACCATACATTTTCACATATGCATTTGTTTCCTCCATTGAACCCACTTTCTCTGGACACTAGCATGGTTTGCTGCCTCCCTTCTCTTGTGTTTCTTTTCAGATGTGGCCTTCCCAAGCTTCTATAACATCTCTCCTCTCTATAGCTAACCCTAACTTTTTCTTTCAAGCATTTAACACGACCTGACAGATCTTCAATTTGTTAATTTGTTCACTGTGAGAGAATTTAAGCACGGATTCTGAACTTGTCTCCCTGGCATGTAGAATGAGCACTCTCAGTAGGTGCTCAGCGACTATTCAATGAGTGATTTAACAAATTTTAATCTTCGCTCATTTTTCTTCCTTCACTTGAAGATGTCCTTTCACAATTTCCTGTTTTTTTATCCTTTTAAGTTCTAGATCAAAGGTCATTTCAATTCTTTTCAAGTAATCTCCCTCCACCCCCGCCCCAGAAAGCCCATAATTATTTCTTATTCCACTAATATCAGAACTTACTCTATTAAATCAAGATTAGGTACTGGTTTCTTTTGCTGGAATATGAATTCCTTAAGGGTAAAGTCCATGTTTTAAAAAATTCTCTGAGCTCCTAGTACCAAGTATGATGCCCAGGGCATAAAAGCACTCAATGAATGTGTCTGTACTAAAACAAAGATCTGAATGAATTTGTAGGAAGTAGAAACATAAAAGCCGTTTAGTAATACAACCATATTTTAAGACAAAAATATAATGAATGGTATAAAATAAAAATATTCAGAGAAGGGAAAGCATAAGCTGTCAATTATATCTCAATAAAGCTGGGGGGGGGGAAGCATAAGCTTACTGCAGAAGGCAAGTGGGTCTCTGAAGGGTGGGTATGGTTTCACCAGGCAGAGCTGGGGTGAGAAGCAGAGGCAAGGCAGATGGAGAAAATGATGTGAGTGAAAAGTTTCACAAGAAGGTTCTTAGACTGGAACATGGTAGAGGATGTTTGGGAAGTAGTTGTAGAGAAGGCTGAACAGACAAGTCAAAGACCAGTTTGCAGAGGGCTTTAGCACACCATGGAACCTGAAATTAAAGCACGTAAGTAATAATGAGTAAATGTTTCTCAAATGTGGTCCATAAACTACCTTCACAATTATCCACCGTGTACACTGATAGTGCCGATCTCCAATTTCTACTTACCCAACCCCAGGCGTACTCAATCTAGCCAATCTTTTTTTTTTTAAAAAATAGAGGCATGTTTTTATTTATTTATTTGTTTGTTTTGTTTATACAAGCACTGGGTACAGTCAGAAGCGCGGGAGAACCAGAGCCAGAGCGGGGAGCAGAGCAGGCAGAAGGACCGAAGTACACTGCTGAGGGGAGCAGCGGGCGGCAGGAGAGGTCTGCGCGCCATGCGGGACCCTCCTCTGGTGGCTGGGGAGCAGCTGGGGATTGAACCAGCGCTGCAGAGGCCGCGGGCAGCTTCGCAACCCAGCGCTCAACCGCTGCGCCACCGGGGAGGCCCTAGCCAACCTTTTATGGTTAGACATTTAAGTTGTTTCTAAAGGTTTGTCTTAACACTTGTAACTTTGTGCACATCTCTGATTACAAATTTGGGGTAAGTGTCTAAAAGAATTGCTGAGTCAACAGTTGTGTGGGCAGCTCTGGTCCCCAGGCTGCCTCCATCTACGCAGATGTCTCTTTTAACAAACCTTTCTCTTTTGAAGCAGCAGCAGCAGCAGCAGCTCTGCCCACCTGTGTCTATGAAGGTGCCTCTGTTTTCCTTTCCCTTTTCCCCAATAAACCCATTCTTTTAAAATGAAAAAACAACAATACTTTTGTGAAGTGTGTGTGTGTGGTGTGTGTGTTTGTGTTAGTTAATAAGATAAGATCTACTTTTTGTTCCACATTCCTCCAAAACTTCTCAAACTTTTGATATGTATTAAAAATTCACTCCTTAAAAGAGCTGGAATCTATTTTTATTTCCACTATCAGTGTATGAGAAAGCCCACCAATTATTTTATTTTATTTATTTTTTTTTTTTAGAGGCATGTTTTATTTATTTATTTGTTTGCTTGTTTGTTTATACATGCACTGGGTACAGTCAGAAGCACGGGAGGGTGAGAGAATTCACCAGAGTCAGAGCGGGGAGCAGAGCAGGCAGAAGGACCGAAGTACACTGCTGAGGGGAGCAGCGGGCGGCAGGAGAGGTCTGCGCGCCATGTGGGACCCTCCTCCAGTGGCCGGGGAGCAGCCGGGGATCGAACCGGCGCTGCAGAGGCTGCGGGCAGCTTCGCAACCCAGCGCTCAACTGCTGCGCCACCGGGGAGGCCCTCCACCAATTATTTTAACATACTTTAGAGAGACAAGAATTGCATCAGAGTTCAAACTATATGAACTTCTACACTATGACTAAAAACCACAATGAGATACCACTCCACACCCATCTAGATAACTATTATTAAAAAAGAAACTGTATACTGCTGACGAGAATATAAAATGTAGTCAGTACAGACAACAGTATGGTTATAAACTCCTCAAAATGTTAAATAACAGAATTACCACGTTACCCAGCAATTCTATGTCTGGACATATATCTAAGAAATGAAAGCAAGGCCATACCTACATTCATCACAGCATCATTCACAGCAGCCAAAGGTGAAAGCAACCCAAGTACCCACTGACAGATGAATAAACTAAATATGGTGAACGCACGTCTTATTCAGCCTTAAAAGGAAGGGAATTCTGACACTGTAACAACATGGATGTACCTTGACAGCATCAAGCTAAGTGAGAGCTGTCAGTCACAAAAGGACAAATATGACTGCACCGATGTGAGTCAAATTCACAGAGACAGAAAGTGGTACGGTGACTGCAGGAATTGGGGAAAATGGAGTTTGAGTGTTAAATGGGTGTGTTGGTGTTTAATAGTTTTAACTGGGAAAATAAAGTAATGGAGATGGATGGTGACAGATGGTTGCAAAATATGTAAATGTACTTACTGGCGCAGAATGTGTACACTTAAAAATGGTTAAAATGTAAGTTTTGTTATGTATATTTTATTGCAATAATAAAGTAAAAAAAAATTAGGTTAAAATTCTTTCATGCAATTAGTATCCACCTACCATGAAGAAGCTTGCAATCTAAGTTTACACAAAATTCATGAACACTTTTAAAAAACTTATTCAAGAGGTATTTAACATAATTATCTACATTATGCAGCAGAGGACTAGAGGAAGATAAACTGGAATCATCTGTTAAAGTTTAAACATATTTATAGTATAGTGACTCTACAGGGAAATGTTTTACTTAACAGTTTATGATTCATTTTTTCCATGACAATCTCTTTACTATTATGTTGGCCACAAAACACTATTAATCCAAAAATATTGCTTTTATATATAACTGTGGAAAAGTTTCCCTAATAGACTTTTATAAAAAAGTCCCCAAGAGTTTCAGATCAACAACTGAAAAAAAAACACTGTAACTTGTCCCTTGTCAAATTTTAATGCTTACTAAACTGTAAAAACCAGGAAATTAAATATTTTAAAAATAAGCAGTGCTGCTCTAAATGCTCTGCAAACGTAACAACCAAGTCCAAATGGATCAGAGCCAATTTTTAATCTCCTAATTAAAAAAAACAAAACCCACAAATAGATCATATTTTAAAATCCTTATTTCTTTTCTAAACAAAAACAAATTAATATGCTAGAAAAAGGATTCATAATCTTGAATTCTGTGAAATGGAAACAGCAAGTACTAAACTAGAACCAAGAGATTCTAAAAGGCACTTCAGGAACAAGTATTTCTATTTTTTTATTTGTAAAATAAGTGGAAAACATCAGATTAGATTCTAAAGTCTCTCTTATTAACATTTAACGAAAATCACCTCAGGCAGAGTAATAGTCATAAAACGAAGAAATTATGTACAACCTAGGGACAGGAAAGAGCAAAGTAACGGTAGTGAAATTAAACAATCACAAGACGCCAAGTTTTTGAACAGGCATTTCCCAAGCGGTCATCCCAGAAATTTTGTGGTTGGACTAACTTAAAATATTTCAACACTGACTCACCATAATTTTCTTAACTATCTAGGCATCTCAGCTCATGAGCTAAGAAATCCACTAAGAATCGTGCTAGTGACTCACACTTCTGAATAAGAGTGCTTTATGCACAGAGACAAGGAATCAATTAAAGCGTTTACAATGAAGTTTTGTTTAACTGGAACGTTTTAAGTGGAAGTTTATTCTGCATGAGTGATAATAGATGTTTAATAACTAGCTAGTGACAATTCCTAAGCAAGAGCATTATGGCAGCTAACTAGCAAACAGTAATCTATGTATTACCGACATGAAAACAACTTGTATTTCAAAAGAGCTCTTGGCTATGGAAAATATTTAAGAAACATAAAATATAATTTGTTGTGAATCAAATTATAAAACCTTATGGAGAGACCATAGCTTGAAATCTTGGCTCTAGCAAACCAACAAGAAAACAAAACACACCATTGTGGGTTGAAGTGTCAATCTGTGCTGGCAAAAAGCCATTCAATCTGAATGTAAGAACCTTCAGGAACCAGCTGGAGAAGTGCAGGGAACCTGGGATAATACATTCATTCACAGTGCATTCTAAGTGCTACTGTCTTCATGTAAAGACAGACAGTCTTGGCATACTTGTCCAAGCTTAAGTCTAATCAAGAGCCTGAAGAACAGTCAATCTAGAAAAATTAACATGTCTAAGATAAAATAAAAATAAAAGTGTGATATTTCCAAAATGACTAGTTTCACAACACAAAACACTCATACACTATAGCGAGGTTGGTATGGAAGGCATTATTTATCAGGAACTTTATAATGTCTATGTCCTTTGTCAGTAATTCCACATCTTTGTAATTTATCCTACTGTATATAAATGCCCAATGAAAGAATTTTACATCTTTTATGCTAGTACCTCTGTGATGAGACATTGTACAACTATAACAAACCTTATTTTATTATTATTTTTTTTAATTTTCTAGAGGCATGTCTTATTTATTTATCTGTTTGTTTGTTTGGTTGTTTGGTTTATACATGCACTGGGTACAGTCAGAAGCCGGGAGGGTGAGAGAATTCACCAGAGCCAGAGCAGGGCAGGCAGAAGGACCGAAGTACACTGCTGAGGGGAGCAGCGGGCAGCAGGAGAGGTCTGCGCGCCATGTGGGACCCTCCTTCGGTGGCCGGGGAGCAGCCGGGGATCGAACCGGCGCCGCAGAGGCCGCGGGCAGCTTCGCAACCCAGCGCTCAACCGCTGCGCCACCTGGGAGGCCCAACAAACCTTATTTTAGAGTAGACATACACAATTCAAACACTTAGAATTATATAGACAAAAAGTAGACCAGTGCTTACCTAGGTCTGAGAGAAGGGGGCAGGGGAACAGACAGTGACGGGGGATAGAGTGATTGCTCTTAGGTGTGGGGTTTCTTTTGGGGGAAATGAAAACATTCTAAAATCAGACTGTGGTGATAGTTACACAAGCCTGTGAATACAGAAATTAACTGTATACTTTAAATAGGTGGATTGTATGGTATATGAATTATCTCAAAGTTGTTTAAGATAGTCTTTAAATGTATAGATACCAGTGAAGTGATGCAAGTAACTGACAGAGGCCTGAAAGGGGAGAGGGACACGGAAGGCTAATTATTAGCTACAGCTGTGGGAGTTACCAAACTGTCTTATCTTTCAAAAGAATGCTTAAACTTGGATTTTTATGTGAGATCTGATTTTTTTCCTTGTAAAATTTTTATTGAAGTACAAAACTATTTATTGAAAGACAGAAAGGGACAAATAAGTACATAGCTCAATTTTCACAAACCGAACACATCCATATAACGAACACCAGAGTCAAGAACAAAACCAGGGGCCGCGCTGGTAGCCTAGGGGGTCGAGTCTCAGCGTTATCACTGCCTGGACCTGAGTTCAATCCCCAGCCAGGGAGCCAACCTACATGGCAAGCAGACCTCTCCTGTCTCACCTGCTTCTCCCCTTAGCAGTGTATTTCAGTAGTTCCTTTCCCCACTATGTCTCGGTAAATCCTCTCACCCCCCACCATATCTCTGGTATGCACCCCAGTTCTACACAAAATTAAAACAAAACAAAACAAACAAAAAAAAACAAAAAAACAGTACCCAGAGCCAAATCATGCCCCTTCTTACTCAAGAG